GTAGAAGTTTCAGTTCATAATCAGCTATCTCCAAGATAGGGCTGCATGATAGAGGAGAAACAGCTCATGGCATGGCAAGCAAGAAGCAATGGCCTTCTTTCTGCTTTCCCTTTTTATTCTATCCAAACTACAAGCTTATTTGGTGGCACCCAGACTCAGGATTGGTCTTCCTTCTTCAGTAAACCAGAACTATGATCAGTGGACTAATCTAGTATCATACACCCTTGATCCCGTCCCCTCCCTAAAGCTCCATCTATGAGCATACAGGTTTCCGGGGAACTTCTACATATAAGCCACCATGGGCAGTTTGTTAAACTGCAAGTCACTCCACTTAAATTGGAATGAATTTTAAAACTGCCACAACCCATGTAGCCCTTGAGGTTCTTGAGGTGAAGGACCTCGAGAGAATGAGAAAATTAAGAGACAAAGTTGGGGTCAGGTGGAGTCCTAATCCTCCTGATGGAGGAAAGATACTATTTAATCAATGGAGCATGATTATTTTTATACTGGGAAGGATGATACCAGTATCAACTATGCTGCCTAGCAACCCATTGCTTGGATTGTTAAGAGCCTTGGTGTTTTTCTCCGCTGTAGCAACTTCTTCATGTGGCTGACCCAGGCTCTCTTTGTTTTTGGAAGGTCATGTCCCAGTCATGCTACAGCCCTGCACCCGTACTTAATTTCCATCTTTAATGGCTCCCAACATGAAACACCATGTGGAGTCCTTTGAATCTTTCTGATATGCTGTAATATTTTCAGTAAATCTAGGACAGAAAAAAAATGATATAAATCAGTGGTAAAGAGGTTGCCTAGCATGGTGAGATCCTGGTAGTGATTACCAGCAACAAAAGAAAATGAAACAAAAAAATCTACAGAACAAAAATCTTACCAAATCACAAAATGTAACTTAGCTACTGTTTGGATTTAGCTGAGTGTTATGGCACACACCTATAATTCTAGCTACATGGGAAGGTGAGACAGAGGATCTCACGTTTAAGTACAGTCTGGGCAATTTAATGAGATCATCTCTTTTTTAAAAGAGAAAAAAGATAAAAATCATGATGAAACAGTTTCAAAATAGGTAAAAGGGCAGTTACAATAATTAATACATTGCATATCATAATAGTTATTCACAGTATAAGATATAGGCATGATATCTTGTCCAAACATATTAGCACAAACCTTTCCTTTTTAATGAACTAGCTATATAACTTTCTTAACTATCTTGGGAATACATATTTTTTTTTATTTTTCCTTTTCTTACTCTCCCCTTTCTCCATCATAGTTTGTCTTTTCTTTTGAACAATTTCTTCTGTGAGACCACCTCAAAACAAAAAAAAAAATAAAAATGGGTAGGAATCATGGTAGGGTGCTTGCTTAGCAACTGTGAGGCTCTGGGTGCATTTGCCCCATACTACAAAAATAAACACAATTTTAACCATGTATTAAGGTAGAATAACAGGACAAATTTCAGGAAGTCATCTTTCAACATCAAAGATTTATTTAGCAACCTGTGACCAATCTTGTTTTATATATATTACCATCTACTCTGCTCACCTCCACATTATTTTCATGCAAAATAAAGATATAATATCTTTTCAGGTGAATTATTCATAAACAATTTTCAGAGGGGATAAATAATTGAGACCAGCCCAGAAGCAAAGGCATTTGATGTTACACATAATACAAGTATAATAACATTATGCAATGCAAACACGTAGCAACAAAAAATAGAAATGGAGAGAAAAAGAAAAAAACAAGATTGAATGTTCAGAATCATAAACTAAAACAGTCTCACTTTTAGAGTCTTATGGCAGTCCCTAACTGGGAATGGGTTTGATCTGAACCAAAATCCAGCCATGGCTCTCTCATCAAAGCCTGTAAGTGTGTGTGAAAGTACACCAGGCCTACTTTTAGTCTGATGACTCAGGTTCCATTTTCTCCTAATCCTTTCTTCACTAGTCTTGGGATTGTGCCTGAAACTTCATATTACTACATCAGTCTCTCTGATTTGCCAACACTGCAAGGTTCTACTAAAAGTAGGACAAGTGACACATTTTGAAATATTAAGTTTCACTGCTTTAAATATTTTTTTCCTCGCCACAAAAGTAATGTGAATTCATTATAGATAATTTGGAAAATAAAGTCTAAAGGAATACCTAGTATTAAGAGCTGGGCATGTGGCACCACGTCTGTAATCCCAGCACTCTGGGAGACTTGGAGGGAGGATTGCAAATTTGAGTTTGGCCTGGGCAAAGCAATGAAAACCTGCCTCAAAATGATGTTTTGTTCTGTTTTGTCTTGTTTTGTTTGAAACAGGATCTCACTGCAGTTCAACTGGCCTTGAACACACTGTTTAGCTGACACTGGCTTCCAGCTTGCAGCAACCCACCTGTCTCAGTCACCACAGTGGACTGAGATCACAGGTACATGACATCACATCCACATCAAAAAAAATTTTTTTAAAGTACAACCATAGGCAAGATGGCTTTTAAAAAGTTAATCTAAGGTGGTTTTAAAACACCAAGTTTTGTCCTGCCACAGACACAAGCATATCATGTTTGTTATGTTAGCACTTGGTAGGGTGAGGCAGGAGGATCCCCATGAATTCATGGCCAACCTGGGCTACATAGCAAGTTCAAAGCCAGCCTGAACTACGTAGTGAGACGCTGCCTCAAAACAACCACCAAAAAAACCTCACCCCACCCCTGCCAAAAAAAAAAAGACCCCATCAAATTTTAGTACATTTTCTTCCATTTTTCCTGCTAGGCACATAAATGCATTTTTTCATAAACATGGGATCATATTTTACACAACATACAGGGAATATAGTTTTATATGATTAAATATTCTTCTCCAACTTTTTTGTTTTTCTATTTAGAGATCAAATCCAGGGTTTCAAGAATGTTAGGCAAGTACTCTACAATTGAGTTACAGTCCTAGCCCTTTTTTGTTGAGAGGTCTCTCAATTGTCAATGATCCTCCCACTTCCCGACAGTGCTAATCATTCACACCCCACCCCTAGGGTCCAGAACAATTACTACAATTCAGTTCAATACAGTCGCATCCCATTGAATCTGTGCAAGGATGACCAGTTCTTTGCAGGTCATATAACTATAGGAACATCCACCACTGCGGTCCTATTTCCTCACTAAAAAAGCAAAAGTGATAGAATAATATCCCCACCAATATTATCTACCTTGAAGGTTTAGTTTACTGTGGAGGTTAGTAAAATCATGTATTTGAAATTATTTTATAAACATTAAATGCCACAGAGAAAGGTAGTAGGGGAGGTAATTCTAAAGATGGCAAATAAGGTCAGAACTAAGGCAATAAAAATTACTTAGAAGTTCCTTAAATTGCTTGTATGTTCAGGAAGAAATTCCCGTTTATGAGACATCAGAGAACAAAGGGCTGGGGCAAGTATGAGCTCAGTGAGATTGCCAGTGCAATTTGCTGTGCTCTAACATTTTCATTTCCTCTCTGCCAAGCGCACAACTGAATTTAATATGACAAATAAGATGCGACTTTGTTATTTTAGTTTTATATTGTAAGGTCAAGAAACCTCTCTGGGCTTTTTGGCATGGTGTGGTTCAGCTGGATGAGCATTTCATCTGACAAATATTCTCAAAGTTGACTCTGCTTGCCACATTCCAGGCTGCTGTGCTAGAGCAAGGCAGCAAGCCAGGAAGGAGACACAATCTGACCACAAGTTGGTGAGCGGAGGCAGTCCTTTGGTCACCTTCTAGAGAATGCAGCAGATGTTTGGGAAAATTATGGAAAGTTACAGATTTTGTTTTGAATACTAGCTACAAATGTTGTATCTGATAAGCATAAAATTACTTTGTTTCCTTGTTTACTATTAATGTTGTGCTAACATTTTAAACTTCTGGTTTTTTAAATTAGTTGTTAATTTAACCATAGGTTAAAAACTCAAACTGTACATAACAAGGAGAAAATGAGAAACAATTTTTCGTTCAAGAATCTCCTTCCTCCACTGTCCAATCGACTCTATATCTTCCCTTCCGGAATCCTCACATTCACTGGTTATCGCTGGGTAAATGCTTTTTGAAAGAGGTACTTATTAAGGTGCTATCTAGGGTCCAAAAGATAAATACTAAATGCAGTATCTGTAGTCCAGTCCAACTCTAAAATTAACTCCGTATCTTTGGCAGAACAACTCTACAGTGGGTGCCAAAAGACAGTCTTGGCTTTCTCTAACGTTACGGTGGCCAGAGACAGAAGAACGCAAAGTGAACGGAAGGGCAGCAGACAGGTCTCAAGACACTTTCCCGGTAAAGTGTTTACTGACTGAATAAAGGCTGTGTGGAGAATGAAACCCCCATAAAGGTGCACTAATTTCATCACCAGCTCGCCTGTAAGACTGCCATATCAAAAGGTCGAGCTCCCAAAGACCACAGGACTCCCCAGTGCTGCCAGGCCGGGATCCCAAAGTGGGAACCCGAGTCGCCAGGGTCACGTGACTCGCGATCCTCTCTGCCCACAGCCACCCTCTTGGCAGCGCCACCTCCCCGCCCCCCCCTTTCCGCCAATCCAGAGCGGAAGGCAAATTTGGATCAGCCAGGCCTGGGCTTGTCCCTCAGCCAAAGTGCTAGGCTCCTGCCAAGCCCCTGCTAAGCCGGGCCTTCACCCACTTGCCTCTGAGCCTCACGCGACTGCCCACTTTCCCTCCTTGTGCCCCTGACAGTTTGCTCCAATCACAAGTGGGAGGAGGAGACAAGCCAGAAGAGTGCCACACCGCATGCGTGTTGACGCGGCGCGGTGGCGCCGGTCAAACTCAGGGCGGGGCTTCAGGAACCTGAGGTGGGGGAGGAGGGCGACGTCTCCCGAGTGCGCGCGCCCTCCCCTCCGACCCACAAGGCGCGGCGTGGTGACGCCCGCGCGGCCCGAGGAAGGGGCGGGGCCGGGGCGGGCCCCCACGCTCCTCCCACCCTCTCTGGTCCCGACTCTCCTCCCCTTCCCTCCGCCACCCTCAACCCGGTCGCGTCGGGGTCCCTTCTTCGTGAGGCTGCGCGTCGGCCCGGCCCGGCCCGGCCAGCGGGCAGATGCCCCGACTTGCCGCTGTCGCCACCGCCGCCGACTCCGCCGGTGGCGGTGTGGGAGGCGGGCGACCGGCCCGGGGCCGCTGAGTGTGGCAGACGGGGCCGGGGGCCGCCGGGCGCTCCGGCGTCGGTGGCTCAGCGCGGACCATGTATTTCCTGAGCGGCTGGCCCAAGAGGCTGCTCTGCCCCGTGGGGAGCCCGGCCGAGGCGCCGTTCCACATCCAGTCGGACCCTCAGAGGGCTTTCTTCGCCGTGCTAGCCCCGGCCCGCCTCAGCATCTGGTATAGCCGAGTAAGTAGAGCCGCCGCCGTCTTCGGCTGCTCCCTCGTCGGCGTCCCGGCGCCGTCCCGCCCCCAACTTCCACCCAGAGCCCGGGACTCCAGTCCCTTTGTGCGGGACCCTGTCGCCCTCCTGCTGCCGCGTTCCGTTGTGGATGAAGTCGCTCTTGCCGAAACCCCTGCGTCTCCGGTGTGGCAGGGACAGCTGCGCACCGTGCAGACCCTGCGCGCGCTCCCTTGGCGGAACCCAGACTTGCCCTCCCCTTCTTCCCTTCATCCTCGGAGCAGATTTACTTAAAAGTTGCTCAGAAATCTGGCTGCCATGGTGTCCTCAGCTCCCTTGCTGAGGTGATTTTGGAGTATAGGAAATTCTGTTGAGAGGGCTTTACCCATTGTCAGACTTGACAGGCCTGAGATGGCTTATTTGTGGAAACTTACAGCTGGAGTTATTTTTACTAAAGTTCTGGTATGTGAATGACCTCCTGTGCTAACCTGGACATCCCTTCCCCACTTTCAGACTGGTCCCTTTTTCCATTGCTCCTAGACACTTAAAGGCATGTAAGGAGCGGCAGAACGCAAATCTGTCTGCGGTACTCAACTGTTAAAAACTGGCAATAATAAGACGTGGAGGGAGCATGGGGGCAGAGTTCTGTTTTTGCTTTAAATCCTGGTTACTTTTTTCTTTTTTTGTATCTATCTAATAAGTAAGAGAAATAACTTGAAAAACAAGTGATAGATGGGATACTTTGAAAATGCTGCTGTAAGTCTATCTGTAAAAAACCTATAGAATTCTGAGTACCAAAAATGCTTTTTTTTCCCCTTCCAAGAAGACACTACTAATCGATGTCAGAGTGATCTCTTTCTAAAGCTAATTTATCCATGTGGATATAGGTTATGACCTTGCCCTTGTTAGATCTACATAAAAACACCTGTTTTTATATTGGTTAGCCTCAAATCTCTCAAGTTGGAATGCTTATACTGCTCTTGACTGTCGTTACACGCTGTCCTGGAAAACCTGGTGATAGGGTGTAAAAAATTCCAGTATATATTCTGACTATCATAGTTGGGTAGTAAAGCATACTATTTGCCATTAAGTTTTGACCTACTTTTCAGATATGTATCAGAACAAAACGCTGTTAGGAAATAGTAAATATCAGCAATATGATATTGTCTTGTACTTACTTGTATTTCCAGATGTGTATATTATTTGGTTCTTATTTTAAAAGAAGTACACGCCTGTTGAATAATTTTTGTTTATCCAACTGTTTAAAACACATGTAGAAAAAATGACTAGAACTTGAATTTTAAGTTATTTTCTGGATTTAGTGTGCAATTCCATTTTGATATAACAAATTGTAAAGCCTAAAATTTAACATTTCTTACCTCTAGAAAGGCAGACTTGACTTAATTTTAGGTAAAAGAAAATTTGATATAAGGACTGAATGAGAAACCTGTGAACCGCATCATCTGCCTCTTCAAGCAGTATAAAATCTTAGCTCTCTTCAGGACATCGGGAATACTAATATCTACCTAGTTTTTCTGGGTGTGATAGACCATGCCTATAATTCCAGCACACTGGAGGCTGAGGCAAGAGGATTTGAGTTTAGGGTCGGCCTGGCACATAGTCCAAGGCTAGACTGGAATACGTAGCAGGACCGTGTCTCTGGAAAAGAAACAAAACCAAAAAACCTTTAAAAAATACTGTCAGTTTTGGAGTTAGATAACAGCATTATCCAAGGCAGGTTTGGGATTTAAAATTACTGATACTCCCTTATCTTTAAGCTGTCACTGTACTCACAGTTCCTTCTTTTTGTAAGTCCGGAGGTTACTGCTAATTGAGATCTAGTATGTAAGGAATCGACTTTAGGGAATGTATTCAGAGGTACGGAGTGAAATGGATTTCAGGAATACCTTAGAGGAAGCCGTATAGGTACTGTAGGTTAACTGTATGTAACCACATGGTGGTTAATTTTGTTCTTACCGAACCAGGTGATTCTAAGGTCTGTGATTATATGACTAGGCTACTATTTTCCTTCTGTGTTACACCTTTCTTAACATGGTGAAAATTTGGTTTTTAAATTTCTAAACTTCCTGAAACTAAGTAAGTTTAAATAAATTTAGGTTAACACAATGTATACAAAAGCCTCATTTAAATTAAGGAGCTATCAGTTACATTCACAATTTTGAGTCATTTGATTTAAAATGTTTGCAGTGAGAACATGAAAGCTTTGACTTTGGAAAGGTAGTTCCAAGTAATTTTATGAATTAAAGTGAATTTTGAAAATCTAAAGGGTTTCTACATGGTCAGAGTCTTATAACTGCTTGAGGGCATTTCAAAGCAGGGACAGACGTGCTCAGAGTTGAGAGGGTATTACAAGATTTGCTTACTCGAAATATTGTTGGGTTCTTAGTATATTAAGCTCTCTTAGGATGAAGGCATTAAAACTAAAACAACATGCATTTAATAGTGTAAGGTGATGGTTTAATGTATCCCCAAAATTGTTAGTGGGTGATACAGAAAATTTTAAGTCTCTAAGAATTAAGTTTTATATGTTCTATGGGTGTTGTAGAGAACTTGTATGTGCTTCCTACAGCTGTTGTTACACATCCTAAGTAACTATTTGGAATTCCAGTGTTGTAGAATCATATCCCTTTAGATATATTTTCTACCTTAAATTTGAGAAATATACTGTAGTGCCATTTAGAATCTGTACTTACTTTGCTTTTGGTGCATATTTAAAAATAGTATATTTCATCATTAAGGTGTGAAAAGGTTGTTATTGCCTTGTTTTTAGTGTAATGCGTTACTGAAAATTTGCTTTTCATATTTTGTGATTCTTAGGAATTCTAAAGACTATGCAAAAGTCTGCAACAAGGACTGTTGATTGGTTAGGATATTGTTGTTAGATTGAGGTGGTAGAGGGTAGAAATTTATTGAGAGAATAATTGATATGTTTCTATTATATAAAAGGATTGAGCTTTGAGAATGAAACTGCTGTATAAAACAAGTTGTGATTTATGATTGAAATGTTTTTTTGTGACATGAATTGTATTTTACTAATATACTACTTAATTGTGATATGAAAGTCTACATGTATGAACCTCTAAGTGATATAATGTTGTCATTCTAAATTAGTTATAGTTCTACCTCAGTTTTCAGGTTAACACATTCACCATAGGGCCATAATTTTTGCCTTGCTACCAAGTGGCTCTGATTTGAATTGAGTAGTTCCCATGGTTTGAAGAACTAGTGATACATGCACGTCTGACTCAGTGGGCAGTTTGTACTGCTTCTTTGATTACTATAATACAAAGACATTGATTTAGCAGAATAGATATATTACAATTGCTTAAGAAAAACATTAAAATGGTATAAAAATTGTAATGCAGCTAATTTGTGGTGGAGAAATAAGTGCATATTATATGTACTAAGAATAGGGTCCTTGTAAGATTTCTGTGTTAAAAATTAGAGTTATTGATAAACTATTCAAGACTATATAGATTTCTTTTAGTTTAATGAAAAAATGTATTTGTTGAATATTATAAAATTTTTAAGTTGGTGTAAATGGTAATAGTTATATTTGACAAGTAATTTTTCAAAGTCAGCAACTAATTAGACTTTTTATTATTAATTTGTCAGGTAATTAGCACTGTTAAAGGTGATTACATCTGTTTGGATCACTAGTACAAATCACCCAATGGGACAATTATGCACATACCACAGGTAGTTCAAGCTAGCAGGAACAATTGTCACTACACCTATTCAGTATAGTTTTGGAAATATTAGCAAGAGCACTTCGTCAAGAAAAAAATAGAAGGATTAAAGATAGGAAAGAAAAAAGTTAAATTATTATTTGCATAGAAGACCCCAAAATATCCACCGGAAGATTCCTAGATTTAATAACTAAATTCAGTCACATAGCAGGATTCAAAGTCAGCACTCAACAATCCATAGCATTCTTGTGCACAGATAACAAACTTATACAGAGAAAAATGAGAGAAACTGTTTTTCACAGTAGCTTCGAAAATTATGAAATACTAAGGAATCAGTTTAACAAAGGAAATGAAAAAAATTTACATTGAAAACTAAGGTAGTCTGATAAAGGAGATCAAAGAGGCTATCAGAAAGTGGAAAGCTATCCCTTGCTCTTGTGTGGGAAGAGCCAACATAGTGAAATGGTCTTGCTTCTGAAATTGTTATGCAGATTTAATGCATTACCAATCAAAATACCATTGACATACATCACAGAACTAAAGAAAACAGTCCTGTAATTCATTTGGAACCAGAAGAGACCTAGAATAGAAAAGCGATTCTGAGCAACAAAGGCAAGGCAGGGGGCATCACAATCCCTGGCTTGAAATTATACTGTAGAGCTACTGTGATAGAAACAGGATGGTTCTGGCCAAAAAGCAGGCCTGAGTACTAGTGGAAGAAATTAGAAAATGCAGAAACAAACACTCAGCCACACACCTCTAGAAAAAAGATAGCCTCTTCAATAAATGATGCTGGAAAAAACTAGCTTTCCACAGGGTAAAAAGTAAAACTAGAACCATATCTCTCACCATGCACCAAACTAAATTGAAATGGGTCAAACGTATTAATATTAAAGAAATACTATATCTTTTGGAGGAGAGAATAGGTAAAAATCTTGAAGACACAGGGATAGGCAAAAATTTCATGAACACAGTTTTGATCACAGGAAATGTCACAAAGAACAACTAGGATTTCATTTTATTAAAAAGCTTTTGCACAGCAAAAGCAATCAACAGAATGAAGAGACAACTCACGATGAGGAAGTTTTTCCGAGCTGTTCCTCAGACACAGCACTATTACCTAATTAAAAATCTAATCAAAAAATGGGCATCTGAAATGAATAGACACTTTTCAGATGAAGAAGTGCATAATGATAGAAAAAATGTTCAACATCGTTGGTCATTTAGTGATACACATTAAAACAATGCTGAGAGTCCATCTCACTCCAGAAACAATGGCTATTCGTCAAGAAATCAACC